TGGAAGATATAAAACTATTAGAACAATTAATGGAAGAGAATTTATACATGTACCAAAGAACCCAAGATATGTTATATCTGGGATATATTGTAAATAATATTAAGGAAATATTCAGATTAAAACAACTATTGGAAGAATATTACAATAAATATTACTACATATTACCATGAATTTAGCACTACAAAAAAATAAGATTAAAGGGATATCAAGATTAAGACATAATACAAAAAGATATTATAATAAAATCTTTAAAATAAGATACTCACCTACCACACTACTACCTACCACACTACTACTTCTATGACTTCCCCAGCTACCAGTTCCGCACCAAAAAAAGCAACGAAAAAATTCCTTATTGTGGGATTGTGTCTTATTATTATTCTAAACCTTGTAATCTCTTAGAAGCTCCGTATTGATTTAGAATAGTTCCTTGGGAGGGTTCAGTATATTTATTTACAAAAATACCTTGTGTGACAAATTTGGAGTATTTATGTATTTAAATAGGGAATTTAGTTATATTATGATCCATTTCCGCATTGCATGATTTAAATTAAGGGTAAATGTTATTCTACCTACCTATTATCATAGGTGTCTGCACGGCCAATGGATTGGATCGTGAGGCTCGATTTTATTAATAATAAAAAAATAACAAAACAAGTCTAGGCCCAAAATAGAAAGAAAGAAGAAACAACAAGAAAGGAAATAGGACAAGATTGGATTAAATGGGTCCATCTATATATTTTCTCTATCTAATAAGGGTTTTCAAAAGGAAACTTCTTGTTCTCCGCCGCTGCATCCAGTGTTCTTCTAAGATGTTGAAGAAGACAAGGTTCCTAACTGGCGGATGATTTTTATTTTTCTCTAGGTGATCAACACTCGAGGTCCTATGTGGTGTGTATCGTTGGCAATCAACTTTTAGAAGTAAGACTCATAACTCTGTGTCCTTTTTGTTATACATCTTTATGTTCTTATAAGAGGATAAATGTAGCTTTGTGTTCCTTTTGTGAAGATGTGTTATCAAATTTGTCTACCTAATGAATATTATGATTAAGCAAAGATTTATATGTGATCTCAAAGACTTTGTCATTTCTCTGATGCAGCCAGAACTCGATTGGATAATTTATCTTAATATGATTATGTAGATTCAATTGAAGAAGTTAATCTTTTTTCACAATTGATTTAAGTATTTCCTAAAGCATGAACTGACCATCAAGTTAAGTGAAAATGGATCATGATAATTCTCAAAAGAGGTAAGTCACATGTTTATTTAATTATATTTCAAATTATTCTCATAAATTTAAGAGTTTCTTGATTGATCTAAACTTTTTGGAGACTCAATTATATCGATCTATATAATTGAAGCATATATGAAGAAATTTGACAAGTGAAAAATAAGAAAAATCAATATTAACTATGTAGGTCATAAAATTAAAAAGATAGTATTGAATATTAGACAACACAAAAAAAATGAGATGGTAGAAGGGGAAAAAGTATTCAAAACTGTGCTTAAATTATGATTAGGGTTTCAACAATTTGGATAATTATAAATACTTACATTATGAAATATAGTTAGACCTTTCTATGACAATAACTCTACAACAACATTTTACTTTAATAACCAAGTTTTATTTGGAATCAATATTTTCTGGTCTAAAATTGAAAATTATATTCGACTAAATGTGATATTTACAAAACTATGGTTCATTTGGACTCTGAAACTAGGCCTCCGAAGTATTATAGCAACTTATCTAGATAGTACAATGTATAATTTTCAAAATAACATAGTTATTTAACTTTGCCAAATATCCTTTTATTATAGTTTGATTTTGAGCTATAGTTGTTGGGTATTTGTATCTTAAATAAAATCCACTCCTAATTATGCATAAAGATAATATTTTCAACATAAATATTTTTGTATATCATCAACTAATAAAAATCTAAGAAATTTGTTAATAATATATAGTCTCATAGTTTCCGCCATTGGCAACTTAAGAAGTTTGATAAAAGTATTCAAGATTTAGTACATAACTAGTAGTAATATTCGTTTATGTAATATAATTTTATATTCTCCTTTATAGCCAAATTTTTATATGATGAATGTATTGACAACCTTTAAACATGTCAATAAATTTTATTTAAACACTCAAATTATAGATTATCCCGATTAAGCGTCTTAACAAAAACTTCTTACTCAAACTTTTGAAAAGCTTCGGCTCATATTCTCAAACTCTCATTATGTTGATAAGTTAACCAAATAAAATATGTCATACATCAATCTAAATTGGAGCATGAGTTGGGTTGTTTGGTTACTGTGACTAATATATATAACTAAATAAGTTCTCTATGTAGTTGGTACTTGGGAACACGCACAGAAGCATTTTCAACATTTATATAAAAAATGTCAAACGAAAATACTTTATCATTTGTTCAGATGTATAGAAATTCAAATGTTTAACAATTAAAATAGTTAACAATAGAGTGTATAATTAATAGAGTACATCTCTACGATAAGCATTAAAATAAAATAAATGACCAAAAAAATCAAGATTGATATAGTAGTGTCAATCAAGTGACCAATTGAGATAGTGTCAATAGCAAAAGACGCACCTTTCTTTAGTGCAGAGCCGGGTTCATGATTGCGGATTGCGCAGACTGACTTCTCCTAATGGCATATAGAAACGTGGTAGGGGAGGTTAGCTCAGGGAAGGAAGCTAAGTAAGGGCGAGCTGAGATAGTGTCAATAGCAAAAGGACATACATCTAAGCAAGAAAATATTCATATTAAATAAATATGAAGTAGAAGAACCTAAATTCCAAATGAACAAATTCAAACATTAAAATGATCTTCCTTATTCTCGAAGAATGAGAGGCAAATAGATTGACCAAGAAAGATCTTTTGTTATTCTTATATATAAAATTGTAATTGGATCTGCATATATTTGGTAAAGCACATAATCTTCTACTTTGAAAATTATATTTAAAAAATGGGCAGTATTCAATTGGAACATGAAACGTGAGTAAATTGGTCTGAGTTACTTTTTGGGGCAGCGTAGAAGAAGGAGGATCCTCAAACGCGAAAAGGATCCAATGAATCTGAAAGAATTGAACAAGGAGTTGTTTGAGGTGAAAATCTCATGTAGGATTGTGTAGAGTGGCAGTAAGGGTGACTTGTCTGACAACTTTTTCACTATCACCCCAAAAAAACAAACTTTGTCTTACGTGAAGTTGTCAAAGTACGATTAACCTCTGAATTTGAAATCACTACTTATGTTTTTGGTATTAGCCATAATTCACAAGAATATTATGTAGTCTTAGTAAGTAGGGGAAGGATTAAGAATTTGCCTGGTGAGAAATATCACATGGTTCGAGGAACCCTAGATGTTGTCGGAGTCAAATTTTTATCGGCCTTATCCTCAACAACTACTGAAAATTCTTCCACACAAACAAATCAAAAAATGGCATTCAAGACATAGTGCATATCACTTAAACACTATCGTTCACAATATTGAATTGTTTGTCTTTCGAATTTATATTGCACTGGAATAAATAATAAAGTATTTATAATAAACATTTCTAGCATAAATATTGATAAAGCTTTTGCGTGTGTTCTCAAGTGCCAATTATGTAAGTAAGTTATCCTGTTAAAATGTTATCTTCTTTAATTATATACATTAGCCACAATAAGCCGTAAAACCTCATTCAAGTTTCAATTAGGCTGATGAGTGACATGTTTAACGTGGTTAACTAATTTATATAATGAGAGCTTGAGAAAATACCTTGACGTTTTTCAAAAATTTGAATAAGAATTTTTTGTTTAGATGCTCAATCGAGAAAAGCTATAATCCGATTGTCTAAATTAAATTTATCGATAAGTTTAAAGGTTGGTAATATATTTCATCTTATAATAGTTAAGCTATAATCAATAAAGGATAGTTAGATAAACATAAATATTGTATGGTATACATTTAAATAGAATATTACTCTTTATATACTAAAACTTTTTGAATACTTTAATCAAAATTCTAGAGTTGCCAATAACAGAAACTATATATTATAAATAATTTTTAAAGTCTTTAATAGTTAAATTATATATAAAATAATTATATTAAAAATAGGTTTTTTGCATAATTAGGGAAAGAAGTTTGTGTAAGATACAAAATATTTTTATAGTATGATTTTTGAGATATAATCAGGTGGACCTTAGCTTCTGGCAAGTGAGTGTCGCAGGAGCAATATTGCACCTGTGAGTGTATTCTCCTTCGGCGAGTTTGAAGCTAAATTGAATTATATTAATTTAATATTTTAAAATAGAATTTAGATATTTAAAAAATATACAGAAATAATATAAGGTGCAATTATTTTCATATCAATATGGTGAAAAAAACGCATTTTAAACATTAGTCAAAGTTTATGTTGGTGTGTATATATCATAAATTACAATAAATTATCATTGAAAATAAAATGACAAAAATGAATAAAAAGTATTCAGGTTGTATGTATGATGGGCATTATAGAAGAGATTTATTGTATTCATAACTAATGTTTAAGAAATATTACTGCTATATGGTCATTGGGCAAAGTGGGGGAAATATAAGAATGATATCTTAGCCCAAGTTTACTTGTGACCCAAGAAAGTCATAAGAAACATTTAAAGAAGAATAAATCTCGTCCGTACATCAGTTACTTGATGGATGTACCAGATTAAGTCGTAACCTCTATAAATTGATTTCTACCTCTACCCATTAGGGTTATCATATATTCTCTACATTAATTTTCATCGCTGACGGATGTGGATGAAAATAATGTAGAGAGTATGTGTTAACCCTAATGGGTGGAGGGAGGACCAATTTATAGAGGTAAAAATTTTATCTGGTACATCCATCAAGTAACCGATGTACGGATGAGATCTATTCATCATTTAATGTTATTTATGATTTTCTTGGGTTACAAGTAAACTTGGGCCATAAGTAAGATATTATTATTACATTTCTCCATCTGGAATGACCATATAACATTAATATTGCATAACATTAGTTATACGCATATAATAAATCTCTTCTATAATGTCCATCATACATACCACAATATGACAAACTACTAATGCAAGTTATGGAGGTTTGTACATAATTTTATGTTATATACTTCCCTCCATATACTACTACTACATAAGCAACGTATTATACTAGATTCATAAGCTATAAAACATATAGCATTATGGTCCACAATAATGTCTCATACAAAGTTATCTTGTAATATCTCAAAACAATAATGTGTACATCATTATGAGAAACAAGAGATTCATTAATGTATATCAGAAACACATATTTGAGCTCAGAGTCTCAAAACATTATAAATATATCAATCATAAGTACAACCAAGACCTATTCTTTGAACATGTTCCTTAAATGTCTTTGGGTGTAAGCCCTTTGTTAAAGGATCTGCAATCATAAGATCACTTCTAATATTCTCAAATAACACTCTTTGTTTTTTAACTTCTAAAGTACTTTAATTTCATATGTTTGGCACCTTTAGAGCACTTTTCGTTCTTGGAGAAGAATATTGTTGCAATATTATAACAATAATTTTTTAGCAGCTTGGTAATGGCGTCCACAACCCCAAGTCTTGAAATAAAGTTCAACAGCCATAATGCATGAATTGTGGCTTCATAACATGCCATAAATTCTTCTTCCAAAGTGGATGGAGCAATGATAGATTTTTTAGCACACTTCCATGATACTGATCATTCAACTAATAAGAACAAGTAACCAAATGTGAACTTTCTAGTGTCAGCACATCTAGAAAAATTTGAATCCGAATGTACAGTAACTTCTAAGTGATTGGATCTCCTATACATGAGCATGTAATCCTTTGTTCCTTTAAGATACCTCTAGACTTTCTTTGCAGCTTCCCAGTGATCAATTTCGGGGTTATTTTGATATCTTCCTAGCATTCCGATTGCAAAACTAAAATTCGATCTTGTGCAAGTTTGAACATACATCAAACTTCCAACAATAGAAGAGTGAGAAATCGATTTTATTTTCTTCCATTCTACATCATTCTTTGGGCATTGCATGAGATTAAATTTTTCCCCTTTTGAATAGGAGCAATTCCTGCTAAACAATTGTTTATGTTAAATCTCTATAGAACTCTTTCGATCTAGCCTTTTTGAGACAGTCCCAATAACTCTTGTGATCTTTCACGAAATATTTCTATCCATATAATATATGATGCCTCACCCTTATCTTTCATTTCAAAGTTCACAGAGAGAAAGTCTTTCATCTCAAACAATATGTCTAAATCATTAGCAACAAGTAAAATGTCATCCACATACGGGACTAAAAATATAAACTTACTCCACTGATCTTTTGGTATATTCAACGATCATAGGTAATCTTCTCAAATTCAAAAGATGTTATGGTATCATTAAAATATATATACCACTATCGTGAGGCTTGCTTGAGTCTATATGTTGGCTTCTTTAGCTTACACACCATTTGATCTTTTCCTTTAATATCGAAACCCTCTAGTTGGTTGGAAGAACCTAGTCGGTCATTTTTGGAAAGTTTCGTGAATCTACCATTTTACCCTCCCGATATCGACCCCGAGTATTTTATGATTAAGTTTGAAAATTTAGTTTTGAACTTTGAGTTAAAAATTGAGAATTTGGTAGGTTTGTGAGTTTTAAAGGCTAAGTTGTTAAGGAAGTGATTTTGGGGATCTTTTGGAGTTTCAAGTGTCGAAATAGAATTCTGTTGATTTCATCAATCACAAAATGTGGAATCTGAGCAGAGGGAGTTGTCGATTTCAATTTTTGAGTTTTTTTAAGGATTTGAGGTCTTTAGTTGTGAAATTGTGGAAATTTAGCCTTTTGGTTGATTTTAGACAATATTTAGGGTTCGAATGCTTGGATCAAAATTCCAAGAGTTCCGTTGGATTTGGGGATGATTTTAGGCCTAGGTGAGGTCTTGGTTGATTTTTGAGAGATTCCGAGCTTGTTTTAGCCTTTTTAGGCGTGAGTTTGTTTCTTGTGGTTTTTACGGATGTCAGGTCAAGAAAACCTCGGAATCATGTTTTGAGAGTTCCATTAAGTCTGTAACATCGAGTATAATTGATTTGCATATCTAATTTGTGTGTACGGAGTTCCGAACGAATTCCGAGTGTCCTTTCGATGTTTTGGGAGTTGGTTGTGTTTTCTGATGCAGCAGGCCTCGCTTTTGCGAAGGTCCTGTTGCTTAAACAACCTCCTCTTAAGTGAAGGACATGTCGCTTAAGCGAGCTTCGCTTTTGCAAAGGGGTCTTTGCTTTTGCGATGCTCGTGCTTAAGCGAGCTTCGCTTTTGCGAAGGGGTCTCCGCTTAAGTAAAGGACATGTCGCTTAATGATCTTTCCTCAATTAGTGTAGAATTCACATTATCTGTCTTTTATCAAAACTTTATTGTGTGCTTATTAGGAGGAGGGGTAGGGGTGGGAGTGGGGGATAAATCACAAATTTTAAAAGTATTAATTTCTTTTTTGAATTTTGTACACTATCAAACATAGTCACATGATGGACAAGTACATTCTAATAGGAAAATGATTGAACATACAGTACCATCTCCATAATTCTGATTTTATCATTGATGAATTGAAAATAAAGGCAAAAAAAAATAATCTTACATCTTTGAAATTATGTTGGCTCCTTCTACATTTTTAAAAGTCATCTTGTAGACAATTTTTTGAAATTTTTCCATTGCCAATGGAGGCAAACTTATTGCTACTAAAATACCCTTTTCTCCCTTTTCATTATTAACAGGAATTCCAATGCTAATGTAAGATATAGCTTCTGAAACCCCTCCAAAAATGGGTTTTCCCCATCCAAAATCAAATTCATCAAATCCAACAGATCTATTAACTGAGACAATAAAATTCCAAGATTTTGATAACTCAGGTCGTCCTTTAATCACCATTAAATTTGTCACTGATTTAATGTACTCTTCACTCATATGATCTTTAAGTTTCTTGACTAGCTCAACTGCATATGTTAGTGAATTTGAACATAACAATCCTACTTTAGATACTGCAGCTGGAGTAATAAACGCATTACCGTAATATCCAGATGGCAATTCAAATTTTAGTGATTTTCCACGTATACTAACAAAGAACGTCAAACGAACAATTTCTCCAGGGTGCAAATCGAGAGCAATGGTACGACATTTCCATAAAAACGCTACTAACAACTCGAATTTTGTACTTTTACAATTTGGAGAAACTTGATTTTTAATAGCTTCCATCTCTGTATTTCCAAAGAAAAAAGATTTTTCTTTTAATTTGTATTCAATAGATTCCCATGCAATTTTTGACTCAATTTTCCCATCAAACTCATGGTGAGTACATGTAATACTTGGTGATGATGTAGCACTTAAGAGATCCCTTTGCCATACAGGTAGTATAGAAGGTACATAAGCTCCTTGAATTAATTCACTTAATGCATTTAGAAACATTTTGAAGCCATAAGCATCCATCATAGTGTGATTAACTCTGAATCCAATAGCAAATCCACCACAACTAAAACGAGTCACCTATGCATAAAGGTGTACGTATTAGTTTTGGATCAATAAATTACCAATAATCGATCCCCTATATAACATAAGTTTCGAAAGAAAAAAGACAATAGATATTCAAGTTGATTGTTTACCTGAACTAACAGAAGAGGACAACCGATAATTCCATCAGAACCTGGAACATTGTGAAGTAGTAAATCCAAATATGGACATGGTGGTTTAATAGAGTCGCCTAATTTGTCAAGCACCACATAAGCATCAGCTTCAATAAACATGATTCCTTCACTGTTGCAATTAACCATAAGCTTTCTATTAGGCCCTTCAATGAGCCTACCAGCTAATGGATAATAAAACACAAGTGTTTTGGACAATCCATTTTTTATAATTTTTGCAGGATCTTTTCCTTTCATTGAGGAATTGTATTTGTAAAATATTAATATGTGACTATGAAAACGTGTACTCCCTTGATCATCTATTTCAGAAAGATATTTTGTCTCACGAGGTGTTATTATTGTTGGCACTTCTAATTTTGTTTGGTGATATGATATTGAAATTGGCATAGTGTGAGACATAAAGAGTCATTGTAGGCATTTGGAATTAGATTTATATAGAGTAAATTGCATCAAGATGAAATGTAATGCAACACAAAAATGTGGTCATGGAAAAGTTGGACCCTACCATTGGTTGTTAAACCCAAAAGATAACTAAGTACAAGTGATTTTTACAAGAGGAAAAGTTCATTTTGTCTTTTATCTATTAATCTCATCCATTTTAATCATGTAACATGCTGACTTACAACACCAATGCTCTTCTTAATTCGATACTATCCAAAGTTGCCAACACATTCGTCATGTGGTTAAATTGAATATAAAATTATCCCTATACTATGTGCAAAAGATTATTTATATCTTCTATTATACTATATGTCTACCATTACCTCCGACTTTGTAAAACCGGTGCAAGAATACCTCTCCACCATTAGGGCTTCGGCCACATCAACACCATTCCACGTGGCCTGGCAATTTGTTATGGAGGATGTCATGTGGCATGCCACCTCATCTCAACCCCATTTTACCCCCTCCCCTACTTCCTATTCCACAACTACATTCCTCTCCACCAACCAACATCACCCAACCATAACAACTATCACCTAATTTTTACTTGTGATTCTAACATAACAACTTAAGAATATATAAAAATAAAAAAAAATAAAAAATCAAACTGTATTGATATCACTAACAAAGAGAAATTGATATGATAGGATGATGTCAAAAAATCTAACCCCAAAATAAAATAATTGAAAAATTAGTATGATGTAAATTTTATAATATAACAGGTCCAACCATCTCAGTGACACCCCTACACTAAGACTCGGTTGCAATAATTTAGAAAACTTACTTTGTTTTGATTCAACTTGAGTTTAGCCTGCATTGTTACATTTTTTTAATCAACTTACGTGTCATATTTTTCTTTTTAATCAATCTTAATATAGTTATACATACATCCTTATTAATTAGAAATAATTTCAACTTTAAATTACTTCTTATTTTAAAATCTTAAAATAATTTATTTTTGTTTTTTATACTTCATGTTTGGAAAAGGATGAGCATGTTCATCCTCCATCTAATTCAGAAGACGTTAGGCTTATGTCCCTCTCTTGTATTAATAGACACATACAGGCTTATGTCCCTCTCTTTTACTACTACCATACAGTGTATGGCTCTAAACACACATTATAAATTTTCTTTATTCCCACTCCAAATGTCTTTTTCAGAAAACATTTTTCTTTTCTCTTTAAAACTCAATGATTTGGATAGTTTTATGCAAAAATTATCTGATTATACATTCCTTCCATATTTATTATTCTCCCTATTGTTTGATAATATGTACATATTATCTCACAAATTAATAATTTCATATAAGATACATCGAGATATATGCATCTTAATTATCGAATACATTCTGAGATACAAAATCATAGAGTGGTCACTTTTTAAAAAGCGACCAAACTCTTTGGGACTTAGGTTGAAGTTGGATTTTAGGTCACTTCTTTTTAACGAAAACCGACCTCATAGATTACTTTGAACTAGATTTCATTACCCTTAAATAGATGATAATTAAAGCAAGAATAAGAGTAGATCGAATGCACAATGCCTACAACTTTGTCTGGATCCTCTCAAACTAACATTTTTCAACCTGGTGTTCTCACTTCTTGAATTAGTACAGGATAACTCTACATGATGATTTTAAAAAACTATTAAAAGATTAATTAAATCGTACAAATACCATAATGAAGAGAAACCAAGATGGTGAGATGATTTGGAGAAGTCTAATTTTGGTATACAAAACAAAATAACT